AAGAGAGGAAGAGCCTAAGGAGATGGAGTGACACAGCGGCTGCAACAGTGGGCTCAGGCATGAGAACAATTGTGAGGCTGGCCGAGGACTGGGCAGTGGTTCCTCTATTGTGCATAGAGTCTCTATGGGTCGAAACTGACTTAAGGACACCCGACAATGACAAAGAAGAGAGCTTAAACATTGAGTGGAAAGCCTGGCATGTAAGGTGGAAAAAGGCCAGGAAGCCTGTCATTTGTCATATTATTCTCATTGCAAACTAACTCGTACATTTAGAATTCTAGGTAATTATGTGAAAATGAATGACAATTTATCCTCTCAGAAAAGAATCACGAGTGCTAGCTTGTACTTGTTTTCAAAGCTGAAGCACCTCTGTTTTATCTGATGGGTGGCTAATGTTGTTCAGAAAGGTGACAGTTGTCCTTTCCGTTAGTTAACTGTGGTGTATTGTTATCTTACAGTTCCAGCAAATTCGCTGCTGTTGGCTTTCACAGAGCTCTGACAGCAGAACTTGAAGCCTTGGGGAAAACTGGCATCCATACTTCGTGTCTCTGCCCAGTTTTTGTGAATACTGGGTTCACCAAAAACCCGAGCACAAGGTAAGGTCAAATTTGATGTAGAATGGGAAAGTGATGTGAGAAATTGAAATGAAAGTTATGTGAGAAATTTATAGGTTGGTCAACAGAGAAAAGGAAATTTAGTTTTTCCCTACTAAAAGAACCTTTGTCAAATAAAAGGTTAAGTGTTGAGCCACTAACTGCAAAGTCAGTGGTTCAAGCCCACCAGCCACTACTAAGGAAGAAAGATGAGGCTGTCTGCTCCCATAAAGATTTATAGTCTTAGAAATCATCAGAAGAACTTCTACTGTGTCCTATGGGATCACTGCGAGTTAGAATCAACTCAATGGTCATGGGTGCATTAATGTCATTTTGAGGTATTTGTTCTATATATTCATTTAAAACAAGTAACAAAATTATTTCAAAGGCAACTTCATTTGAAGCTAGAGCCTCTTCAAGCTGAGCTAGCTTGCTGTACGCTCCCCACTTGGAGCTTTGACCAGTGCCTTCAGGTTGATTCCAACTCTGATCATATAGGACAGAAGACAACGAAATCATGGCGTTCCCAAACCTGTAATCTCCTTTAAAAAACAACTTTTTATTGCAAATCAAGTACATTATTACAGAGCAATCATAAGTGTTATATTCAATAATCCAGACATATTTTTTCATGCCATTCCCTTCAATTCCCTCAACGTAACATCACCATCCCTTCCCCCCTGTTTCCTGCTTCCATTCTTCCTTCTTTCCTGACCCTTCTGAAGTTGTCCTTGGGTGCAGCAAATGTCCAGAAAAGGCAACATATGTACAAACATGCCTGATTCAACTGATGTATGCATTATGATAAGAGTTGTATGAGCGCCCAATAAAATGATTTTTTTTAAAAGCCAACAAACCCTGAA